ACTTTAGGGTTTAATCAGAGCCATATCATACAACATCAACAGCAATCACTTTACAAGCATACAAGGTTAGTAATGTACAGCTGTTCATGTTTTTTTTTTTTAACCAACGATATCAGATCGGGAACGGGAACATGCAATCCCAGCATGCAACAGTCTAAATCAAAACAACTTCATACTGACAGGAAAGCACGCTGTTCAACTGACTGCCAAGCATAGGAGAGCTAACAGCTAACTCGTCTCTTCTCCGGGCTGTATTCATATAAAAGTGAACATGGTGGACAGCTGGGATGTCAGAATAGTTGACACGCAAAGGGGAGAGTGTTTCATCGAATCCCGAAAGACGGCGGAGGTGGATTGGTGGTGCCATAAAACGTGCCCAAAGCGAGAAGAAAATGGAGCAGTGGGAGTCCACAGGCAACAGATTCTGCTTGTGTAGTGATCACTTCATATCAGGAATCCGACGCTCACTAACTTTAATGTTTATTTTACATGCTTTTATTGTGATTTCTAACCATTTAATTTTCATAAAAAGCAAGTTTGACCTTTGAATTATGGCATGGATTTTGTGCAGCTAGTAAAAGGATGTTGCTCACTCAGTGAGCAACGCGAAATAAATGTGGGATAAGAAAATTACTTACATTATTTTATTACAGTTATATGTAAGGCTGCTGATATGTCATGTATCATTGTTTTGCCATGGGGATCGTGCAATTTATCACTAGATTCTGTCATTGTTAGCAGGAGGGAAGCAAATTGTAGATGTGGGGATACTGCAATATTGGAATATTGTCCGCTCTGGACACACTCCAATTGCACTTTCACTGTTTTGTGTGTGGAAAAGGAACAAAACCGGACAGCAGAGAATATGCTCCGTCAAATAGCATTACAATGGAAATATATAAAAATAAACAAATAGCAATGACACCTAATTTGACAGGCTGGTTATTGTACAACCTGGTCCATTAAGGAGTGTAGTTATACCAAGGGTGAGCTATCGACGTGCAGAACTACACAGTGCTTTCTGTCAGACAATAAAATGAGATAATGTAGAATTCCATTATGCATATAGTCTGGTGGGTGTCCATCACATTTCACTGCTATAAAAAAGGACTTGTGCAGTTAGAGAGGAGGACAAAGACTGGCCATGTGCCAAGTTATTTGTTTACCAGTATTTTTGGGTCAAATGGAGCGTAACAAACTGCTTCAATAAATAACTCTGCAAAAAGAGAAAGCCAACTGACAAGCAGAGTTAAAGCTAAATGGAATATTAACTGTGAGAAATTACTGAAGGGGTGACTACAGGACAAAGAGTATCAGTTTCCTCATGAGACCATTTTAAAAATCACCACCAAGACACCAGTAACTTCCTGAAATGATACACCATGGGATCTCTGATTATGTACAATCTTTGGTCATTGCCTGTTCTCAAACATGTCCCCTGCTGACCATTGTGCACTATTTCTAACTGTGAACTAATCAAATCAAAGCAGAACAGTGGCTTTATGCCAGTGGCTTCTGGTCAAACGGACTTCATACAAAGCAGCACAAAGCAGAGTGTCAGCTTCTGTGACATCTTCCTGGTGTTTCTCGGCTTCCTGGGTAGTTCAATAGCAGAGAAGTTATTTGAAACTTCATATTACTCCTGGCGACAGCAGGTATGCGGCTGCCGAATAATACAAGGAAGAAGAAAAGATCTATTGTGGAAAGAAACTGGGCAAATTTAAGATTAAAACTTTAAATCTCCTTTTATCTCTTCGCTAAATGTTTCCAACATCACAAGCATCACAGAGAATGGCTAGAGTGGCATATTTCTTTAAAAGACGTGTTTGATGTTCGCTCATGCCAGCATGGACTATATACAGAATGCATTTTGTGTTTGTTTGTTTACCTAGGCTGCTCTTACCATCCAGCTGATTTTGAGGTTTGTGTTAATTTTAACCAGCAACCAGATAAAACAGGTCTAGCCACAGGGTAGTGGTTCATTATCTCTGGCCTTTGTGCCAAGGAACTCTAGCGGGATTTCAGTGGCACAGAGAAGTCAAAGGACTCGTGTGCCATGAGGAAATTGCCAAAAAGGTTCAAAGGAAGAGCAGAGTAGAATACAACAAAACAGAATGAAGAGAGGTAGGAAAAGGGATATGGTTTCACTTCATCTGAAGAATACAGAATAGAGAGCTAGGATTGGTGTGTGTGCATATCCTGTGTAATAAAAGCAAACTGCAGGTGGTCCTCCATCAATTCAGTTACAGTGAACTGATGCTGTGCTTTGGATATCTCCTGTTCTTCTCACTCTCCAATAAACATTCACTCTAACCTACAGGGCAGCGCCACATGTCAGCACAGTGGAGCCTTTTTCATGTCCTATATGGCAAGGGTCATTGCATTTGGTCTCACTAGTATCATGTGAGGTGGGTGACAGGCAGTTTGCAACTAATTTCCCCTGGTACTCAACAGACTTGATCAACAAGTCTCTTTGGTATCAAAGTCACTGCAAAATTACAACTAGGAAAGTGCGTTCAGTCGAGTGCTTATCTCATCCAGGCGGCAGGGCTGCACATTGTTGTCAAATTCCAGCAGACCTGTTTCAGAAGCTTCCAAAAGCTAAGAAAAATGTGTCTATTTTTGATGGAGCCAAAGCCTAACTGAAGGGCTGTACGTTAACTTTTTGTACATAGCAGTGGAGCTACCGAGGTTTAAAGGTTTGCAGCATGGGCCACAAAACTATAACATGAGTATCAGGTCAGTCTAAATCAATTTTAGTTTGGAACAATTAAAAATCTTTGTGGGGGGAGTTAAAAGTCCTTTTCCATGGCCTTTCAAATCTAGTGCTTGAAAATCATTCAAATCTTTTTATCTATAGGCTATTAAACTTATTAATTCACATAACATCAACAGAGAGGCCGAGAGAGAGGAACAAGAGACACTTTGTCCTCGTTATATATGTCTTGTATATGAAACGTCTGTGTTGTTGCTGCATTTTTTTAGATCTGTCACCTGCATCAGGCGCGTTCTCGTCACACAACAGACTACAGCTACCAAAAAGAACGTTGATGCGCTATGATCCACCTCACACACAAACTAGCAGCGCAGCGCCGGATTGCACGTGTGCTGCGATAATGACTGATTCAGCGTAGCACGTGCAACATATAGGCTGATGTTGCACAGTAGACAAATTAATAGAGCGATTAAACAGGAGAGCAGCTCTGTGTCTCTAAGAGTGTTGCTGTTGCTGGAGAACTTGTGAGTGAACCAGTGGGGCGAAGCTGTGCGAGAGGAGAGATGCACACTGGTATGCCTTATGGAACCCAACTTAACCATATATCGATATAAACCATGTTGTCTAAATTTACATATTGCTTGTAAATATATACGGTTATGTTGTTCATAGTCGTTGCTCTTTGCATGGTATAATGCTGTGCAGAGGACGAGACAAATCCTGGACACAGCAAGACCACAGAGAGCTGCGGCCAGTGGAACTGTCCCTCCAAGCTCCCTTACAGTCAAGATGGCGGTGAAGATACCAAAAGTGGGGAATGATTCATTGCTTAGCTTGCCTAACTTTAGTGGGTCAAAACATATTAGGTATGTAATGAATCTGCAGATGCAGTTACGGATGTCAGTTTTTGACTTGCAGCCCCAAGAGGCCAGGTAAGAGGAGTGAGGAATCAGCAGTAAATTATGGTATGAAACAGGTTTTTACACAACTATGAATCACTGCAGTCATGAGAGGTCCTTGAGCATACAGCCATAAACATGTAAGCAAGATATTAGGGCAACTGGTCAAGTAGTATTCATGATAAGCTGTGGACAGAGGGATACGCACACATTTACAAACTACCAAAAGCATGATGATAATAATTTTACGATATGACTTAGCTTTATCGATATGTGTAAGCCATGCCCTGTACAGTAGGCCTGCAACTAACGATTACTCTCATTGTCGATTAATCTTATGGTTATTTTCTCGACTTCTCAGTTCGTGATTTGGTCAATGAAATGTCAGAAAACGGTGAAAAATGTCAATCAGTGTTCACCAAAGCCCAAGCTGACGTTCTCAAATGTCTTGTTTGTCCACAACCCAAAGATATTCAGTTTAAGTGTCTCAGAAGAGTAAAAAAACTGAAAATATTCACATTTAAGAAGCCGGACTGCATGTAATACAAAAGGAAAAGTAGTAGCTCAAGTAGTAAAATTCCAAAATGAATAATTCACGGTGTAAAATGACTTCAGTTATCTTGTTTAAGTTTCTGCAAACATATTTGAAGCAAGAGACAGTTTTATCATCCAAGGTCAGAAACGAGACAGGTCTGACAGTTTTGTTTCCACCAGTGAGAAAGAAAGGCACGATGCCCCAATTGCCTCCCAGTGGAGTTAACAAACAGTCCCTTTGCTCTTTTGTCTTTGGTTTTATCTAGTCACGCAATGTGGTCTCGGGCCTCCCGAGTCGCTTGACGTTGCTTCATCGAGCCACATCCCCACATTCACAATATCTCAAAAAAGACAGACAAACTCTTGTCAGGTAATTAGCCTAATTAGTCACTCGCTTGTATTTCCTTCCCCTCCCTAAGCTCGCCTTTCCTCCTGCGTGAGTTTGAAGAGTGCCATCATTAATATCATCCTACCATGGGTCATAAAGCATTGCATGTCACCGTGATAAAGGTCCCAGCCTTGGCCTGGGAGGGGAGAGATGATAACCCAGCTGGATAGGATGGCTTTAAATTAAACCGTCTGATGATACAATTAGCTCAATGCACGCTAGCACTGTATTCGCTTTGTTTGCTCTCTTTTGTTGCTCAGTAGCTCTGAAACCTTTTTTCATTAAGCTATGAAACACGAACAGGAGTGGCTGAAAGATCCCACTGTATTCATAATTATTGCCATAAGTGCAATGCAGAAATGACAGAAATTTCATCACATCCACATTCATGCTGTAAGAAAAAAATACAACAACAACATAGCGCTTTTTCCCATGGCTCAGAGACAAATAATATGGACTTTACCTTCGTAGACAGCTTTAAATCCCTGCCCACTGACTGCGTAGTCAGACAGTAGCCACAGTGTGAGCCTGGAGCCTGTACTCACAATGGGTGAAGGCAGCTGGAACCCTGTTAACCTGAGAACAAATGGACAGAAGAACAATAACGGTCAGACTCAAAAAAAAAAAAAAAAAAAGATCCAATCAACAGCACAGTTGGTTGCAAGGTCAGGTATGAAGCCCACTTCCATCAAACCAGCTGTTCCCTTCGGCATTCAAGGATAACTTTTTGTATAACGAGGCTCTGAATCATACACAAATGATTAAAATGCCAAGACCCCAACAGGACAGAAAGCCTCAACAGATTTCTCTCCATCAGCGAAGACAGAGTAACTGCAATCATATGTCTGCAGTAAATTAGAAACACAGCAGCCACTGTGGGAATGAACAAACAGCTGGACAGACAACAAACATAAAATTGTCAGTCTCTAAGTCAACAACAGTTTCTAATAGCTGAAGAGTACTTTTTAGATTTGCAATTTACCTGGAGGAGAAAATATATGTGCTATTTATACCTGCAGTGTCCATCTCACCATGTCTCAGTCTAAAAGGTATCATAAGTACTCAATGTTCTTTTCATGTTGGATGTCGATTTAAGGCTTGTTTTTCCATCAGTCTAACACAGTATTCTTTCTCACCTGGACCCGTATTTATTAAACATCTCTAAGTCTGAAATTGGTCCTAACTTGTTCAAAATTATCAGAGTGACACATATTTGAGCCTAATTTTAGACATAGGAGTAAAAATAGTTCAACTTTCTTAACCTTGGAATTAAGCTTATCTTTATTAAGATTTAGAACGACCGCAGAGCCTGTCAGGAGTTTAAAAGATAAACAATCATAGAAGATACATCTGCAAATATTCCTACAGGTGTGGAGATATAAAAAGGACATTTTTGTTAAAAAAAAACAAAAAAACAGTAAGTTATAATAATCTTCATCAAAGATATGGATACTTGTGTTAACTGCAGCCACTCTGTAGAAAGTTTTTGCAATTTCACTTGGTGAAAAACAGAACATTTAACCACCATAGTGATTATTTGAGTCACAGTGATTATCGCAGCGTAAAGATTCAGTCGCACAGATGTTCAATAACTGCTCAATTATAAATATGAATATAGAATAAAGCATTTCATGCAACACGGTGGTTTTCTTGGATTTGTCAGCATCTCATGTCTCAAGCAGCTTTCATCTTTTAATGTCATATAATGTTATTACTTCAAGGACAGGTGAAGACACATGCTGGTTTAATCCATACCACAGTATCAACACATATCGGTTATGCATGCATGATCTTTGATGCTGTGGCCAAGTGGCCCAGGTTTGCATGACGCACACACTCCCTCAGACCATGACAGCAGACCAAAGACAGCGCTTAAACAGTGCCTGAATTATGCCATTGTGCCAAGGCACTTCTTACACACATCATATTTTAGCAGTCTTTACTGTCTTAGTCCCTTGACATACAAGTGATGCTCTTTATGTTTCATTTTCTATTTTCTGCAACAGATAGGAGAATAAACAAATCGTATTAATTTCATCTTATGGTTCTGATTGTGTAAAAAATTTAAATATCCTACATCCTCAAAGGAGAACATCATAAGAAACTTCCAAGTGTTGCTTTGAGGTGACAGTATCCTTATGCTATTTTTAAGTACACAAGTTTTCTCAGTGTTCATTCTCAGTGTGTTTATGTGTCATTATTAGTTGTCATTATGATGACACTTGTCTCAGTAAAACGGCATTATCAATATTTAATGTGACTTACTGGTAGTTTTGTCATGCCAATATTGCAGGCTGACTTGACACTGAAAACTATTAAGCATGAAGCTAACCTTTATATAAATTCCAGGATGACTTTAGTGTTTTAATGGCGTAAGTGTTAGTTCAAATAGACGTTTAAAGTTATTTCCGTCATATTTAAGCGTAAATATCCCCTTTGTGGGAGTAATAAAGTCTTACCTTATTACAAATAACTTGCGCAGTTTTCCCCTCCTTATTTTGACGGTGACATATGACGCAGTATCTTTTTACCACCTGTAGCTAATTAGCATTAACAAATTAGCCACACAACAAAATTCACCTTGGCTGTTGTCTAGTGTTACCCAACTCTGCTGGCAGTATGCAAATAGTTACACTAAGCTAAAAAGTTTTGTAGTTAAAAGCATAACTGTCTCTCTGGCTGTGTGACTTTATAGTTTTAGCAGCTAACCCGTTAGCTAACCTTAAGGTGGCGACGTTAGCTTGTTCAGTGCTAGCTAGCTAGCTAACGCTATCTCATTTACTATGCAGTATGGCTGCTAGCTAGGTAGCATTTAGCTCAGCATACCTCTGTAGTTTAGGTTTATCACCTGTGAAACAGAGACTCCGGGGTTTTTGGCTGATGAGTAGCAGGTATTTCCAGTCTGTGAGACTATAATTTATTCAGCAGTCAAGGTCAAACCTGAAAGCTTAGGGCCTGGTGCAGGGCTGTCCCATATCTCGAGCCTGAACTAACCACTGTCACGTGCGAGTTTTCATTAACTGTAGTGAAACTGTTTTAAATAAAACTAAATATATCCATAAATATGTATAATAATTGCTGCTAATGACTATATGTCACAACATATCAAGCTTTTTAAAACTTTAAAGGGGAACTACGCCCATTTTCAAAATTCATAGGCCTACATGTTATTCCTATGGTGAAAGACAGTCCATAAATAAGTAGTTAACATGATCAACTCATTATACCTCCCATTTGACACCGGGGGGCCTCTAGTGTCCAAATCTCTACTGGTATTATTTGGCATTCCAGTTGAGGACTGTAAAATTCAGTTTCCTACTGAAGATATCCAACCATGGATAAATATAAAGTCATGCTGCTCTAATATTCCAAAGACACATTTTTTAAATACCTGCAATAAAGGAGCTTTATTTTCTCTATACAAAATCAGTCATTGGCAATTCCTTCAATTTCATCCTTGGAGGAAATATTTGTTAATTAATTATTAATTAGGCTAATTTATAGCTGGCTTGCATCTGGTTCTAAAGATATTTAAACATCATGCATGGAGGGCTGATCTAAAAGTGGACATTTCACATAATGAGAGGACCAAACACAAACAGCTAACACAAATCTAAAGTAACTTCAATGTAATTGGTAAATGCAGACCTATATAACACCTGTAAAATTGAATACATAAAACAACAATATACTGGACACGTTATAAATGTAATACGGCTCAGGGAATATTTATACACTTCATCTGGGAAAAAATTAAAACGTTCTGGAAGGAAGTGATTAATAAAATCCTGATTATTCTGCCCATGAATATCTAATTAGACTCAAAAATGATATTGCTACACATATATCCATTAACAATATCTTTGAGAATTAAAGAATGTATTTACTTTGCTATACCGCAGGCAAAACGAACTATAGCCTAAGTACCAACTATAGCTTATGGCATTGTATGCATGTATGGCATTGGAGAAAATAACACATACCTTGAAAAATAAATGAAGTATGTATGAGGGAATATGAAAGCCATTTAATGACTTTATATAATATAGAGATATAAACAACCTTCTACAGCAGAACTGAGGATAGAATACTAATATGAAAACAGAGTAGTGGCAAATCCCAGAGGTTGAAAACTTTGATTATGATTTTTTTTTTTTCCCCTTTGTAAGAGGTACCAGTGATTTAGATCTTTATTCATGTCATGTGTTGTATCTGTGATGTCATGGAGTATAAAGTCATAGACAGTGAATGCAGAAATGTTAAAGATGACACTGAAAGCATCCAAGGGAGTGTTCTGAGTATATGGGCACATTTTCTGTTTCACATCTGAGAAAACTACAATTGAATAGAGCTCATTTGGATATCGAAAGATGTGTTGGTCCATATTCATATCCAATGACATCACAACTTTGAGACTAACTTCTTTGGTTATTCATTTAGGGGATGTTCCCCTTTAAATAGCAATATCATCACTACTTTTATTTAACTGATTAAAACCATTGAAAAACCTACTAGATACAATGCAGATTGATGAACCCATCATTCTAGACCAGTCAAATTGTCAAGTTATCCTGATCTTTAGGGGTAAGAGTGGACAGAATCACTATATTTGGAGATGTTTATAAAGTACCATAATGACTAGGGTTGCAAACACGACCTCTGAGGGACCTATAACCAGTGTACCAAAATTATGTTGGAAACAAGCAATAGAGTTTTGAATAATGAGCCTTGTCTTATTAGTACCATCTTTCCACAGCAGCTCTACTAGGTTCGGCTATTAAATCCATTTAACATGTTTGCCACCCACATACTGGCAGTGCTCACATACACAGGCACATCCTAATTAAAAAACAGGTGTCCACTGTTCATTTGTTGCCAGTCACCACAGGTTGATTAGTCCGTGCATAGACATGAATGTGTGTGTGCACATTATAGATCCCTGATTTACAGATTTTAATAAAGGACAATGTTGTTCTCCTGACTTTTAGCTCATCCTCAGAATTTCCCTTCCCAAGTGCCACTTTAATTTTCATTTTGTGTTCCCACATGCGCTCTCTCGCCATGTGTATCCCACTTTTTACAATCTATTACATCCCTCCCTTTTATCTCTCGGTGTTAAGAGAGGCCTCAGTGTTTCACTTAATCCTTAAGTACCACATTGGAGGTGGGGAAAAATTGCAAAACGCCAGTGCAGGAGAGATGAATTGAACCAAAAAGGAAAGAGGACTGTAATATATGCATGATTTCACTCCTCTCTGTGAGATTGTCACGGTGGGATATCAGCTAAACGATGGGACACATGTTCATGCAAATAGCCCCTTCGCTGACCACAAATTGAGTTGGAAGGCAGCCATCTTGGTTCAGCAGCACACTGCCGGGAAGGGGGGGTTGATAGAGGGTATGATGGAGGGGCTGAAAGGGTGGGGGGGGGGGGGGGGGGGGGGTTACAAACTGGGAGGGATTCTTGTCGCATCCAAATCATGATCATCTGGCATAAGCCAGACACGGCCCCAAATCATTTTTCCAGGCTAAGAGAAAACAAAATGGATACCGTCACAAAACACGGCGAAACTGGC